GGATTTACATTTGTATCTAGGATCAACCCTCTCGAAAGGATGTAATCTTGTGTTTATCAACTAACAGGTGTTTAATCTTTCTATATATAATTAGATTAAAGAGGCTGTCAATGGAATTTTTAAGTATTACTGTAATAAATATTGGGTAAACATGATATTCTGTAAACCTGAAACCTGAAAATTATTAACTATCTACATTTGTAAACTTTTAAATAAAACCCATTATTCATTTGAATGTGTTTCAAATGAATATGTAGCATGATTAGCTTCATTAGAATAAAGATATCTGCTGCCAACACAAATATCATCTCGTTGGACAAAGAGTATACATGCCAGCTAAGCGATCGTTTAACTCATGAGTCGGATGTCATCAAGCAAGTGACTTCTATAAGTACCTGGGAACGTCATCAGCAAAAGGGGTAACTATGGTGTCAAGAGCCAATTCTTCTAAAGTTGTGATCTTGCTCACCAACAAGAACGAGATCGTCAGCATTTCATCATCATTGGCACTGTGGTGCAATGTTGCCCTGCAGGGGTGGTACCCATCACAGCAGGAGTAATACAGCAGTTGGAAGTTGTACAAACAAAACTAGGGAAATCTATTCTGGTAGTACCGTATTCGTCTGAAAATGCGATCGTCTGTACCAATCTAGGTTGGAAACCTATTAGGATGTAGATAGAGGTAGCGAAACTACGGTTTATGAAGAGGGTGGAAGATCAGGATTTTATAGAGAGTAGACTGGTTAAAGTCTGCATGGATTGAAACAAAGATAAAAGAGGGTCCCTATACATGAGGAACTTGGAGGATCTACTAGGAAGACATAGGGATGGGGAGAGGGAACTGGGAGATATTACTGTTAAGCAGTTGCAAATCTTTTATCAATTGGAAATCCAGAACTCTGTGCAGAATCTGGTTTCTCTACAACTTCACCAGTAGCCTCACAAATGGTGGAAACCAGCAAAGTTTTTGTGCAATTCTAAATGCTCAAACATCATGACCCAATTCAAGTGTATGAACGTTGGCTTAGGAAACAGGAATGGCTATAGAGCGGCAGATCAATCAATAATCAATCTATGATAGCAGACTTGCTTTAATAATCAATCAATAAAATACACCGTAGTAGCTAACAGGGCGGTTTCCACTTATCAACCATGTTGAATAATGCACTCAATATGATATGTAGAATCTGTGTTTGGTCTGGCAATAACTTTGGATGTCCAACGCAAAGGCAAGCTTAAATATTTGGATTACAGAATAATCTTTTATAAAAAGTCACATTCTTTACAAATTACGGAAAGTCTATATGAATCATAATTTCCCACATAACACTTGAGAATTAGTAAAGTCATTTCGATAATGTTTGTGTGGTTGTAGGACATCCCTAAAAGTCAGATTTGATTTGATTTGATTTGATTTGATTTGATATATAATGACATACATCTTAATTGCGCCTATTTTAACTGTTCTGTAATATGTAACATGATGGGCTTAATCATGTGATATAGATAAAGACATAATAATTGTAATTACGTCTATTAACTTAAACTTTTAATATGTGAACCTCAAATACACGAGTTGATTTAGAAATTCTGTACTGTTTACTGCGAGAGAGTAATCATTCCCGGTTTTAATAAACAGGTTGAGGATTGTCCCCTTTAATTTGGGATCAATAGTTACTAGCTTCTGATTGATATTGATAGCTAACAAGATCGTGCCCAGTGGTAGTGGCGTTGGCAGATCACGAGTGTGGTTCCCTGTTTTGATAAACAGGTTGAGGATTGTGCCCTTTGATTTGGCAATCATAGTCACAAGCTTCCGATAGATATCGATAGCTAGCTAGATTGTATAAGTGAAACTGAACTGTACCTGGATAGATACGTGTTAGAGAAACCGTTCAGGAGTAGGATATTCACTACATTTCAAATTTGTCAACATACCTTAAACACCTATGGCTGAGCAAGAATTATGGAGATATCCTTGATGTTTTTTTCTGAACTTTGATAATTTTCAATCATGGTTTGTCGGTCAAAGTGACTTGTGGATTTATCAGCAAGGGTGGAAATGGACAAAATTAAATTATTTTTTAACCCTTTAAAGGCTGGGGATCTTAATCTAGCCCTAGATAAAGGCTTTAGACTAAAATGTCAAGTGTTGTATAAGTGCTAGGGAGATTTGAAAAAAGGACAAAAACGGTCAGAAAAGTTCTAAAAATAATTCTTTTTGTTTAACAAATATTTAGATGTAAAACATATTTTTAAAATCATTTTTCAATGGCTTTTTTAATATTTAATTTTTAGGTTGAGACGTGAATTGTATATTACAATTTTAAATTATTTGGTAACTTTAAATAACGTTGACAGTTCCTTCAATAATATTATTAATATTTGAACTATTTTTAGAATAAAACCTTTTTAACTAACTGAAAAATAGTTCCGAAATATATTCCGGTTCCAGATGTAATTTATTTTACTTTATCTAAAAGTTTTTATGTTAAAAGTTGAAATTAATAATAAAAAGATCGTAAGTTTCCCCATTTTTCAGTAATGGTTTGAGTTAAAGTCGGAGCCATACTTTCTTAATATACACCAATCTAAATTAATATCAAAAGTTAAAACTTTTTCTTCTTTAAAGCAGTCGTACTCTTTTTAACATTTATACTAAGTTAATCTGTCATTTTTCTCAAAATTTTCATATTCTGCAATTCCACTTGATTTGAACAGACAAAGTTCTTATTCAGTGAAAACACAGTCTACATAAATTTTAACGATTTCTCATTGGCTGATTTATTTTTGGTCTCTGATGGTTAATATTTCAAGCCAGATACAAGTATCAGGAATTAACTTTATCCGTTGAACAGACAAATATGCGGATTAAAGCTTGCTGAAGATATTAACGATAAATACGTTTCTAGACTATTGCATTGTCAGTGACTTTTTTAAATATATTCTTTATCAACTGTTAGAGAGCCTGAAAGGAGTTATCCTTAAATAGCCTCCTATTCTTGGAGATACTAAGTAAGGATGCTTGTTTTTTCGTTTTGTTTTTAACTTTGAAAGATTGACCTAAACTATGACTTCGTAGCAGATGTGCATCAAAATTTTACTGAATCTCCATTTTTAAAAGGTGCATTCATGATTCACAACATTACCCATAAAATCTTTATCCGATTAATACTTGTTTATTTCTAGCTTGTTTTTGAAACAGAAATCAGCAAGTCACACACATCTTATAAACCATGCAATTAAAAACAATCAATTTTTAATGTTAAAAATATGGATATCTCATTTATTTTTGATCATGCAAAATATTTTAAAGTAACGTTTTGAATCAGACATTACCTTAGCAAATATTTAGTCCTATATAAATAAATAAATATAAACAAATGTAAATGTAAGTTTTGAAATAGGATCTATTTGTAACAAGGAGAATACAGAATATTGCAATCAAGGGAATCTATCACTGATTGTCTGCTAACAGACAATCACAGAGTGTCCCAAAAAATAGTAGCTCTCGTTTTTTGAATTATCTACCTTTATTCTTTAAAAAAGTTCTGATCTAAAGGTGCAAATAAAAATCTTGATCATAGCTAAAATTATGATGGCTTCGAAAATCCCCAGATGCATTGCAGTTTTTTTTTCAAAATTGAGGCCCCCTGTTTTCAGAGACACCCCGTAGAACCTGTTGTTTTTGCCAAGAAGCATAGACAGCTATAGGAGGGTATTCTGTACTAAAAGGGATTAAGCCGCGGTTTAAAAATGGTTGGTTCCACTTAAAATTGTATCAAATGTTTCAAGATTTAAGCCGGCGCATAATTTAAACCGGGTTTTGACGGATTTAAACCGCGGCTTAAATTCTTTAAATTCCATCTCTGATTTTGAAATTACGTCTTGTTCAAAGAACTTACCATTATCCTATAAGGCAATCATGTTTGGTGAATTGTCAAGATCTATGTGAGATTATTTTATGCTTTATCATTACAAACAATACTAATCTGATTCTGAAACATAAAGAAATAAGATGAAGAAAATAGATCAAACGTTGTTATCTCCTATTTATCAGAAAATCGAACTATTAGTATTATTATTATTATTATTATTTTGTATTTCCATTATGTTCAGTATAAGAGCTATAATTCTTTTATATATTATGTTTTATAAATAATGGAAATATATAAAAACAATCAATAACAGTTAATAATATAATATCAGTCCCTTCTCTTATGTCTAACAATATGGTTAAATACAGTGTGTCCCAATGAAAAATGACAGATTGAAGACGACCAATTATAATATTGAATATATAAGTTAAAACGAGTAAAATATCCTTTGAGCAATAAATTAACTAACCTTCATTTTTCACAAGGTGTTTCAATAAACATGGGAATCAAGAGACGACTTGAAAATATTCGATTTCCGATAGTTGATCAAGAGTGTATAAAAATATACGTTTTATAACCTTTCTAAAGTCTGATATCTTCAGTATTAACGGAGATATTCAACATTTTAACGAGTTTGTTGTCTATTAAATTAGAACCTGGAATAATTTCTTCATATCCCCGTCATTATTGAAGGTGCAAAAATGTTAAACCATTTAGAATTCCCAAGACTAAAAGTTTTAATTAAATCTTTAAAGGTTATGTGATTAATTAAAAAAAAAAATTGGGTGGGGGGTTAAATGATTTTTTTTTTTAAATAAAAAGTTTTACAATGAGTCGGGGGGAGGAAAGAATTTACAAACATTCCTTAGGTTTACCCAACTCACATTTCACATTGGTCCAGACTGTTATAAAAAGTTGCGTCAAGTTTCAAGATTGGGTCAACCTAGGCCATTGGTTTTACCACACAAACTGACTTATACTTATTTTGTATCCTGAGTATTAACATTGTTGTACAAACACTTGATTTTAGTTTCAGTTTTCCAGAAGTATTTGGAAAAAATATCATCAATTTGCCTGAGAGCTCGCAATTTTTGGATCACCTTTAATCCGATTCTTTTTAAGGTTTCAGTTCCTCAGTGATAATGAAGACGATCTTCTCTCTGCTCTTTCAAGCTTTGGTTCAGAGTTCGAGGAGTTCACTATTACAGAAAGGGGTCCAGGTTAACGGATTTTAAAGGGACTGTAAGCGTAATTTTAAGTGACTCTCCATGCAAAGATGTCAATGCCCGATTCACAACGTTACCCTTAAAAGCTTTGTCTGATCAAGTATGATTTATGTATCGATGTTTATAATTTGAAAAACTGAATTATCAGATTTAATCACTTTTTATTAAATAGAAAAAGCACATTAGTTCCCACAGGTTTCAAGGTTCTCGTTGTTATCTTTTTTACATGGTTTTGTACTTTTAATTTTTTTTTTTACATTTTTGATTAATTTTTCACAATGTGATAGTTAGAATTTGACATCAAAAAGCGAGTTTTTTCACCTTTTTAATTCTTAAATACCAAAACATTTTTTTCACATTCAGCAAATAGTACCTTTGACAACAAACCTAATATCTGGGGGGAAAGGAGGGTGAAGATTCTTTAAGAAAACATATGCATCCCTGAAATGTAATGTTAAGCCTGTGACACAATTTTTTTCATCTAATTTCGTAATATATTAAGGTCTTTTTTATTCTTCTCAATTATTAAATTTCCGACTAAAATCTGTCCATGGAAACCTTGGTCCTATCACCCTGAAAACCCAAATATTTCGATATGGACGAAAGGACTCATTAAGAAATGGATATGTCATTTTCCCTTTAATTTACCAGAATATTTTGATAAATGATTTTTAAAATCAGTTAAATGTTGCTATTTTGATACTCCACTCTCCTCTTTTAGAACCCCCTTTTAACCTTTAACTAATATATATTGCATATTCCTTAGTTGTTATTCAAGTAATTAAGCATTATTAATGCTTTAATTATCCCAATTAACCCCATTCATTAATAATATTAATTATAAATGCAACTGCATTTTAGGAACTGTTAGCGTAATGTCAAGTTTCCCTCCGTTTAATAAGTTATGTCTGATAAAGATTCCCTTAAGATCTTGAAATAGTATGAATTTATTAAATATCTTTCCTTTTCTATACTGCATAAATCTGCAAACTGCTGCTAATCATAATTAAAAGATTCAGATTGAAAAGTAAGGATGATATTGCAATCATTTCGGCTCAGAAAAAAGTTAATAAAAGTACCTTTGTAGATTGGGGTTGTAATTTTTTTTAAATGGATTGCACACGAAATCACGCACTTTTAGAAATCGAGAATAATTTTGTGGTTCAAATCATTTCCGCTGTATTATGGCAGCTACTCTGTATGTATGTAAATCAATTGTATCGAAATATTTCAGCACTGAAGGGGTTTAAGCCGCCATATTGAAATTATCAAACAAAAAATTGATTTTTCATATGGCAACCTGGTTTTTTTGAGTAATGAACTTTTAGACCAAAGAGGTGAATGTTTTAGTTATTTTGTCATCAGAAAAGTAAGTTATTATTATCCTTATTTGTGTACTTTAAAAAAAATTGTTTCCAACAAATTTCGGAAATCCACAAATAATTTTTATACTTTTAAATGTCCTAAGAAGCAAGGCTTGTAGAATGTAGATAGATTGGCAACAAATAATGTTTTTTTTTCTGCATTTTAACTGAAAATGAAGCGCAAATACCTACGCCATAACAATTTACTCGAGATGTATCTATCCAGGTCTACTCGTTACCAAGATCAACCAGGACTAACTTCTCAGATTCTAAAGGCCACTCAGGCAATATCTCAACCAGGATGAACTCCCAAGCTCTAAATGACACACAGGCCAAATCTCAACCAGGCTTAACTCCCCGGTTCTAAAGAACACACAGTCCAAATCTCAACCAGGCTTAACTTCCCGGTTCTAAAGAACACACAGTCCAAATCTCAACCTGGCTTAACTCCCCGGTTCTAAAGGACACACAGTCCAAAGAATTTGCTACACAGGCAAATTCTCAACTCGTAAAATTCAAAGAGTACCAAAGCTTTCTTTCGAGCTAACTTAGGCTTCTGATACCATAATCAACTAACAACTAACTTTATTTAATAACTAGGTTACAAAGTTAACATGAATTGACGTAATTCAGTTCATACAATGTTATAGATATCACATGATTAAGACCATCGTATTACGTATTTATCGCACAGTTAAAGATTAAGTTACGTATTTAAAGGATTAAAGAGAATAGATATAACGCAGTTAATCTTCTCTGCCCATATTATATACCGTAATTTGAGCTAATCATGTTAAGATAGATATCACATGATTAAGACCATCGTATTACGTATTTATCGCACAGTTAAAGATTAAGTTACGTATTTAAAGGATTAAAGAGAATAGATATAACACAGTTGATCTTCTCTGCCCATATTATATACCGTATTTTGAGCTAATCATGTTAAGTGTTCGATTGAAACGCAGTTTCAATGAATAATCTCATTATGTCTAAGTTTAAAGATTAAATCCTTTATGACGTACAACGTACTCCAAGTTTTCAGAATATCATGTTTACCCGCTTTATGCTACATAAGTATCCTGCAATGTTTTGTGATTTTGTTAAAATCTGTCAAAGTCAAATTATTGGACGTCGTTAAATGTATGTTTCGTACAATTTATTACAGTCACAGTTTGCTTTTTTTACAATGTCATATTCAGATACCTTATATATATATAAATTTATTTGATAATGTGATGCAAAATATTTACTTTGTAATGTCTTTAAATGTAATTGTGACACAAAGTGCACACTGTATATGGATTTTAAGATGATGCCCTTACTACAGGGCAGAGACGACTATACGGAATTTGTTTAGTCTTTATACTTAAAGTCATGGTTTTTTTACCAATCAATAATAGAATATATTGACGCCTGAAAGTCAAGTTTAACTATCAAATCATTAAAAGAGTTAGAAGTCGTCATTGAAGTCACATACCTTGTGGTTGTGGAGAACCATGTTCATTAAAATAAGGAATAATTTTGATATCCTTCACGAGATAAGATTAGATTATAAATTGAATTAAATTGATAAAGATTTCATATTTATCTATTTTAAAAAGAAAAAAATGAAGATCAAGAAGAAGGAAAGTGGAGGAGAAAGAAAGGGAAAGCATACAAACAAGAAAAGCTTCAAAAGAAAACAGAAAATGGAAGCTAAGATCAAAGAAGATGCAACACGGAAAAGAACCTTTGAAAGGTTGGAAGAAGAAAATGAAGTAAAAAGGTAGGATTACAGTTTTTACCAGGGATACCCAAAAAATGTTAAAAAAAATTTGTTTAATTTTATGCTGAAACTAAATGAACCATTTATTAATCACTCCTTAATAAACAGATGAGATTTGTGTTGGTTTTAGCAAGGTTTGGTTGGTATTATGCCCCTTTGATTCAGCTCCAGATCCATGAAGACAAAATGTTCCAGATTCAGACCCTAAGCACTGTTGACCACACATGACAAATTTAGGTTTTAGATTTAACTGATAATTACCCCCAAATTGTTTTGGAAATTAAACCTATATAGGATTAGTCGATTTCAAAAATCTTTTTAAACAAATTTGATAAGTTGTCTTTTTTGAGAAAATGGGGTTTGAAATATTTGCCAAAATGGATCCAAAATTGCCATGAAGAGGAAAACTGAAAAAGGTGATAATCATCGAATCCATAAAGTTTACATTTGAAATTACAAATATTGACTTAAATATTTTTTTATTTTATAAATAGTCAGTTTTCTTATGTTTGGCACCTTTTTTTAACCTTTTCATCACATTTGAATTGAATAAAATTTATAAAAAGGATTAACTTTGTATTAAATAAAGTTGTTAGTTTATTTGTATTCTGTAGTTGTTTTAGGGTTGGGTGACAACAGTTATTTTATTAAGCAAGAACTATGTTTTAAATCATGATATTTTACATATCACTGAAAACATAATCCGGAGAGATTAATGTTAGATAACCAACTCCCTTTAGAATGAAAAAATATTTTGGGTTTACTTTCTTAATTTTTATGTAAACCTTTTAGATTAAATGATTATCACCTTTTTGCAGTTTTCAGTCCTGGCAAACTAAAGGATCCCTTTTGGTCAATTTTTCAAACCCCACTTTCTCCAAAAGGGCTACTCATCAAATTTTGAAATTGGCTTATCCTATACTTTAAATTTTCTAAAAAAAATTGGGGTTAATTTAAGTGAAGCTTAAAACCTAAATTTGTTATGTGTGTGACACTGAGTAAAAATCCGAGATTTAAATGATAAAAATTTTTTTTTTTTAATTCCTAATACAAGGGTCAAAGTGTTCCAGTAATTTCATGGATTGTGACTTTATGAATTATTTTGAATTATTTTGAATAAAAGGCTATTTAAAAAATAAATTTTTTCATTAATTTGCTAAACAAAATTTTAAATAGTATCTAATTTGAGAAAAATTTAGTTTTATCTCAAAATTATTTAATTAATTTCGCAAAAATATGTTCGTATTTAAACTTCAAAGTAAATTTTCGAAATTTGTGAATACAAAGTATTTCTTTGAGATCGTCAGAATTTAGCAAAAGAATCTTTGGAAACCCTTGTTTCAATGTATGTAAAGTTATAATTGACATTACTCCAAGGATGAAAGCGGCTGACAGCAATTTTCAACCTGAACAGAAGATGTCGACAGAGAAGAGGGAGGAAGAAGACCATAAATTGACTCAGAAGGAATGGAATTATTCGCTAGTAAAGGATATGATGAAAGAAAATATTGAACAGGAAAATAAAATTGAAGAGATGCAATCTAGGATGGAAAAGGAAAAACAGGAGAATAAAACGGAAATGGACAAATTCCAAGCTCAGATGGAAAAGGAAAAAGTTGAGAACTCTAAGAAAATGGGGGAAATACTCTCTTTAGTGGAAAAGGATAAAAAAGAGAACATAAAGAGAATTGTGGAAATGGAAGCAAAGATGGAAAAGGAAAAAGAAGACAATAAAACTAAAATAAAGGAATTACAATCCCAAGTTGAAAAAGAGAAAGACAAAAATGAGAAGATATTTGTAGATATTCAAACTATGATTGAAACTAGAAAAGATCAGGATAAAAAGTGGTTGGAAATAACTGCTAAAGAAAAGAACAAGAACGAGGAGCTAAAGAATGCATGGATAAAGTCTGTTCAAGCCAACGCTGATCTGATAATAAAAGTTGATAAAGACGAAAAGGAAACCAAAATTCTGAAAAAGGAGAAAGAAGACATGGAGAAGAGGATAATTACTCTAGAAACTGAACTGCTGACAGAACAGGAAGAAAGAAGACGATTAAAAATTAAAAAGAACAATGTTGAAATGGAAAGGGATGAATTGAGAAATAAACTTGAAGTTTTTGAGAAGGATAAAGATGCTGAAAAGAAGAAAAGAATTGCTGCAGAGGTTGATCTAGATGTGCAGAGAACAACAGCTGAAAAGGAGCTGAGAGAGTTGAGAAAGAGTTTGCTGCAAGCTGACAAAGAACTGAAGAATGTCAAAGAGAAAGGAGCAAAGATGAAAAAGGATTTAGAATCAGCTGAAAAGGAGATACAGAAAATGCAAGAGAAAATCAAGAAAGAAGAATCGGAAAAAAATAATCTTATGTCCAGATTAAAGCTTGAGGCTTTAGCCAGAGAAGAAAGTAGAAAGGTACTTGAAACATATAAAACTTTACTCGACAAGACAAGAAAAGCAAACATCGAGACAGCAGAGAGAGTAAAACTGAAAATGAAAGACATGAAAACAGCAGCAGAAAGTTCCAGAGCCTTGATGCATGAGAAAGTTAGTAAAGTAATTGCACTGACTTCTTCAAACGATGATTTGGTCAGGAACATAAAGGAGCAAAAAGAAGAACTGACTAAATGTAAAGAAGCACTAATTGAGGAGAAAGAGAAGAAAACTCGAGCAGAACTTGAGAAGAATAACACTATTCGGGAGAAGACTGATCTACTCCAGGAGCTAAATGAGTTTGTCTCATGTCCTGTGTGCCTGGAGCTACCAAGAGGAAACAGGATCCCAATCTGTAGAAATGGCCATATCACATGTGATACCTGTTGCAGGTAAATTTGTTAGTTAAAGGCACTGTCCACGAAAATCAAAAGGATTCTCGATTTTAAGAGTTCATTGCTCTTTGTATCTGTGGAACAATGAGAGGGATAATATTGTTTTTCTTATTTGAAAAGAAAGAAATTTCGTCAATTTTGCTTTCTTGTCTCTTATGCATAATTTCTCAACTCACTTTTGTAGAAGGCCTGCATTTTAAAAAGGAGAAAAACACAAATATTTCCATTATTTATGCCCTGACAGCAATTTAAAGGATACCATAGTCAATCAACGTGTAATTTGTGGAGATGCATTGACAGTACTGGTGCAAGAGCGGGAAATGATTTCATCCAAAATTATACAATGATAACCAGAAAACTGTAGAATAGGTAGAAGACATGAAAGCAAAATTGAAGTACATTTAATCTCACAAAACAAAAAGCTTTCCATGTAAGTTATTTAATCTCTTATTAAGGGAAATGCGTCTACTTACAATGCGCTATTACTCTGCCTCATTTCCATTGGACTATTTAAAGTCATAATTTGAAACTGAAAGTCTACGTCTTATTTTGTTTTCTGGTTTTCACTGTACCAAAGTTCTAAGTAAATCTGTTAAATAGACAATTGACATTTCTATGAATAAATAATTTTGGTAAAAATTGGATTTTGTTGTTATTGATTCTCTTTAAATGATATTAGGATATCTTTAAAAAAGTTACTAAATTGCTTCATATATGACATTTGGATAAGTTCCACTTAAAAAAGGTGCAATGGGAAAATTGTCGCTTTGAAAAATGATTGGGAAAACACATCAAGATTATTTTTAATTGATTTAAAGCAAATGTTGTTGTAGGAGAACATGTCCAATATGTCGGGTGATACTATCCAAGGACAACCAAAACCCCCAGTTCTCAAGGCTGGCGCTAAACATCTGTTCTCTTGCAGAGTATACCTGCCTTTACCCTGGGTGTAAGGTGAAGGGGAAGAAGGAGGAGGTGGAGAACCATGAGACGCAGTGCACCTTCAAGAATGCTAACAAAAACTGATCAGTAATCCCCCTGGCCCCCTCACCTCTCTCTACTTTATTTATAGAGAATCATGAGATTGGTTGTACCTTAAAAATGCTCTTTGGGCAGAAAATTCTTCGTAAAATGACCCTTTCCCCTTTTCTTAGCTAAAATTCTCTTTTTGTTAAATGAAAAGTTGTTAAAAATTAGCAATTAATGCTGTTTAAAACATTAATTGATTCTTGGGAAATGTCAGTTTGAAAATTCTCACAGTAGTTATTTTTTTGTATTTTTTTTATTTTGGAATAAATGTTTTTTTTTAGAAATTTTTATAGGTTCAGTAGATTTTAAAATTGCACATTGAGAGGGGGGGGGTGAAAGATGAATTATTAAATTCATACGCTTACTATACAACTACATACAGTGGTAGCCAGAATACAGTGGAATTGATAGCCGACCTTATTCAAACCAAAATGGCATTTTTGGTTGAAAAATAAGCACTTGGTTCATATAAAAAAAGATAATAATCTATCTATATAATAAAACAAGACATTCGTATATATGTTCCCTTTAGCCGGACAAACACCTGGACCCAATGGGCTAAAATTGTTGAGGAACCCTTGAGTACCTAAGAAACAATTAACAAATTTGAAATTTTATGTTCTTTAAAAATTAGATTTTTTTTTTCCAAGATCCAAAAAAAATTCAAAATTCGATTTTATTAATACCACGGGCAACGCCGGGCACTTCAGCTAGTAGTCTATAAACAAATAAAGTAGTTGTACTTGGTATTGATTCCTCTTTGCACTAAGATTAAATAAAACCATTTAAGCTGGTCTTGGTGTAAAAAATCACTCTTACAAAGTCGTATTTGACAAACTTGTAAGAATTTTTTGACACCCACGTTTCCCGGATTTTCAAAGTTTCGGACAGAATGATTTTTTCTAAATGGTTCTACATTAATTTGGCAAAATGGCGATTCTTACTCTCACTATACATTTCCTCCTTTCCAAACAAACAAAGAGATAACCTTGCCGAGTGGAAAAACTTTTTGTACAATAAATGAAGTTTTTCCCAAGATTCATGGTTCATAACGTTCAGGATACGTCCATAGTTTACTATATATTAGTCATCTTTAACATTACTCCCCTAGGATAAACTTTCATCTTCCCCTTGCCTTCTCCTGTAAGCTAACCTTCTCTATAACTCCCTATTCCTCCCTGAGCTGGGAACTTTTGTGTTGAATAATCTTAATTCCGATCCACCGATCTCGATATCTATTGTAGGCACTTTTAAATTGAGTATCCTTGTTTTAGTTTTCCCTTCAGTTCAGGGTACAATTACACTGTGGGATATCGACTAAAGATTAGATTAATCTGCAGATTAACAAAATATCAAGCTCAAGCATTAATATTCACAAAACAAGAGTTCCAAGCTCTATTTCCCAATAATCATTCTCCCCCTGCTCCGGTCCAATCTCTTTCTATCCTTTTTTACTTTCCCTTTCCTTTTTCTCTTCATCTCAAATCTTAAATAACCTACCCTCTCCATTTCCCTGAGCTACTTCCCCCTCCAGTGATCCCAAAGCCTCGGCATTTTTCTTAATTTCCAACTCGACCCCCTCCCCCCATAATATCTATCTATCTATCTATCAATCCATTTTAGACACACATTTTATCATATTTCATAATATTCGTCCTTCCATTAGATTTTCTCATTGAATTCTTATTTTCAGAGATAAGGGAGGTAAGGAGAGGGTGAGTTGATCTATCTAACTTGACTTTAAACTAAAGATTGTAGAATGTATCTTCTACAATCTTCTTTTTTCCTGATTTCCGTACACTTTGGTAAAATTTACTCTTGAAACAAGATACATGCACAAAATAACCAAACACGTTTTAATGGTTAGGTTTCCTTTTATTTTTTTCTGTGGATAGCACTTTTGCACACATTTAAATAAAAATCAACTTTATTAGAATAGATACAGATATAACTAAATATTGGAACCTTGTTTTTATGGGTTAGAATTTTGTGTTGCCATTTTAAAGTCCAAAAACCTTAAAGGTCTGAGAAAACCGATACAAGTTAATGCCTATCACTTTGTGTATGAAGGATGATGGGATGACTTATAGTGAAGATATTTCATTGTATAGTTACAATATTATTACACTGATTAGGTATATGCTATAACTACTATGATAGTTATTATTGTTTTCTCCATAAAAGAATAACAAATATTTTTATTATTTTCATTTATCACTGATAAAATGTGCGTTTATCTCCTTGTTATTTTTTGGATTACTTTTTTGTTAACTACATGGTGTCCTGCACTAAATATGACAGTTGAGAAACGACCTAAATGTCGTCATTAAGCTTTGAAAGCTACAAAATGATAAAAAAAATTTATTAATTAATTTAGAAAAATGCAAGTTCATGTATAAAATGCATTTATTTTTTTATACACAATTCAGTGTAAGAAAATTACCAAAGATTATGGATGACCTTTAAGTCGTCTCTCTCAACATTCATGTCTCTAAGAATGAGAAAGTAATTGTAAACATGTGAAAGTTAAGAAAAATATTGCGGTTAAAGAAGCATACTAAAATCCTCTAGACACCTCCCCCCCCCCAACCTCTACTCCTCAGGTTACCCAGAGTTTCTCCCGGAGTTTAATCATGATTTTAGCTATGTTTCCCTTAGAATCTCAAAACCATGCTAAAAATATTCCCGTGGTTCTCCTGAGTTCCCCAATCAAAGCTTAATGCAGAACGGTCCAGAGGTTCAAGAGTTATGATCGGACATACAAACAAACAGCTTACTTCTTTATATTTAAAGATAATCATTAATTTTTCTCAGATTACCCTTCATCCTGTTTGCATCACAATTGCGTTTTCACAGTCTATACAGGGAAGGAGCCAACCCCCTCCAACCAACTTTGTTTTCGTAATGATTGGATTGTATAATTCATCATTTTTTAACATCTCCCTTCCTGCTGTTTTTGCAACATAAATCCTTGATATACCCTGGTTTTGGCACAGATTTTTGGACAAATCATTTACCATTCTGCTCCGCGCACAATTCTTTTAACGTTATTATAATCTTCACTTAAAATCCGACATTTCTATAAGAATAAGCACAACTTCCGTTTCAAATGCATGTTGCAAAACCCTGGCGATTTTATCTTAACCTAACCTAAAATTGTGTGTGCACATTCCCTTATCAAAAGCTGGTGTTTTGGTATGCACAACTTTTTTAGTTCCCGTGAATATAAAATTTGTCTAGTTAAAAACAAAATTTTTATTGAATTCTGCAAAGTTAAAATGGTTTAAAAACCTTTTAATTTTCATTATTAACCTTGCCAGGCCCTGCTTTTCCTCCCCAAAACGCTGGAAATTTATTTTGAAACTTTTCTATTTTTGTTTTTAAATTTTTCATTCTCGCCACTAAAATCTTGCACATTTTAAATCTTTAGAATTCCTAAAGTAATTGTGAAGAGCTTGCAATATTTTGCAGGAACAACATATGTGTAGTTGGCAGATTTGAGAGCTTGCCCAATCTGCGAAAACATTCCAAATTTTATATTTTTTGTAGATTTTAGATTTTCCAGTCCCAAAAATAGACGATTCCTTAATTTTTCAGATTTTGACCATCTTGGCATAAATATACCCGATCTTAAAATCCTAGAAAGTTTTTGTTTCAGTTTTCATTAAATACGTAAACTACACTTTTTTCAGATGATGTGTTTTTACATGGTGCTTACTTTGCTGTATATTTATCAAAACCTCCAAGAATATAAATTTTGGAATTAGCAGCAACAGTGTCCTTAATTTATAGAGAGTCATGTTTGCTCTTCTATTTGCGAAAAGCCATGTCAGTTCCTCATCATACTGGTTTATTTTTTTTTTTGCTAAGATTCATGCTTGCTTCTCTTTTTTACAAAGGGTCATGCTGATTATTTATATTTATAAATGTTTATTCATGTTCTTTTATGTACAGAGTCAAGCTTCTTTATTTTTTTCCTGCGTTTAAAATGTCATGTTGGTTCCTGTGTTTATTTTCTTGACCAGAATTTACTCTGAATGCCCCAGTAAACAATATATTTAGAACACAGTTATATATCAATACGTCCAAGACCCAGAGATAAAAGTTTACAATGATGCATTCTCTTCAAAACCTGTATATTCACATTACAAGGTTTTTCACAGGGGTTTATTTATTCAAGAATTCATCTATTTTTCCCTAAAAATAAATATTTTCCTTAAAAGGAGTGTTCGCGAAAAATAAATGGGGGTGTAGGCTTACGGCGAAAAATAATCACTTTTGATCGCTACTATTCTTACTTCTATCTGTTACCTCTATAAGGAGAAAATTGTTAAAAGCAACTTATACTGAAGAACGTAGCGTCCATACAAAAAAAAACCTAAATGTAAACTACTGATTTTTCAATCTGTAGAAGTATTACTCGCCCTAAAAACGCATTGGTTATCTGAAAAAAAAATCGTTGTTCTTTTAAACTAACAAATTTTATTATGAAATAAAGATGAAAGGTTACTTCTTAAAATATATGGTTTGCTTTTTTCTAGATATGCAGATTTAAAAACTTGGAATAATTTTTGATTTTATATATATATCTGTGGGTTTAAGGTAGCTGTAAGCTGGAAGAACTGCCAACAAAGCTAATACTACTGCTTTGATCAATAAAGAATCTGAGTTGAATACAAACCTTATCTTAAAACCCCAGGTTAGGGGAATATATAATAAATAACAAAGATTATTGTTTCGGAAGAAACGATATACATTTCTTATTTCCAAACTGTACGTTTAAACTTCCTTACTCCCCCCCCCCCCCTCTTACAAAATTTAACTTACTCCTTCCAAATCAAATTTACCCTCCCCCACACACACAAATGCTTTTCTCCCAGCATAATTCTTTCCATCATTATTTAATCATTTTCTTGTAGAGGAATTTTTTAAAGAAAAATATAACAAATCACTCTGATAATATCCTGCTGCCTAACCCAGGTGTAGATGGTATAAGAATATGATGATACACCCCCTAGTGTAATTAGCTGAGTAGAAGGCTCTGTAATTGATACAGATCAAGTTGTTATCAATCAATCAGTCAACTTCTTATCAAGTTCCCCTGATCTTGATTTCCTGCACCCTTCTTCCCCTTTCCTACCAACTAATTACCCCCCCCCCCTCTTCTGCATACAAACTTATCCCCATAGTAAACCCTTTTTATGAAAAATATCTTGCTTTAAATTTTTTTACCTCATACTAAAGCTTTAGGCGTTTTCAGGGATTGCATAACTTTTTAAAATTTTGCCTGAATTTACTATTAATTTAATAAGGATTTTATTACCATCTCAATCATGAAAAGTGTTCTTTGAAATACAATTAGTACAATTAGTTCATGAAAAATGTCATTTACATGGCAAAAATGTCATTTTGTCAGGTCAGAAATTATAAATGTATCATCCTGGCCTTGATTCCTAATGTAAGAAAGTTTGGTGTTAAGCTTTTTATCCTGGAACAATCCCTTTAACTTTGTTAGTATTTGTAAATATTTCTAGCTGCCAAGAGATCATAACTCTTATTATTCATGGAACATGGAATTTTTATATCATATCTTCAACTGTAGTTGTTTATTAGATATCGATTAAAGATTCAAAAAATACTTTTAAATTGTTTTAAAAAGTATATTCCAAAATAAACCAAGAATATTGATAAAAAACTTGCGTTTTATTCTAATTATTAATTTCTATTAGTGGTGTATATTTCAAAATCCTTTTTCTCACAGTATTAATCCAAATCAAAAATTTCCTTTTTTAATTTCTAAACAGTAAATAGTGCCATTGCGATGCATATTGTGTGAGACCCAGATATAAAGTTGAAAGTTATTTTTAGTGCTAGGCACATGTAAACTTTTTCATTTAGTTTGTTAATGAGTTGTTCAATTATATAACCGGTTGTATTTAACTAAAAACTTAGCTAAACATGGAATTTTCGGTTAATTTTCAATAACTTATGTTCATTGACATTAATGTTCTTGGTCTTTAATTTCAAAAATTGTATTTTTTATTTAATGTTAAGACAGGTATAATAATAAACAAATTTTGTTTTCCTTAACGAAATTTTTGCTTTATTTTTTAAACTTTTTTACGCTTGATTCCTGTGATAACTTTACAAAGCCCAGCCCTATATGTTCCACACTGGGGTCCTAGTAAATATAATTAAATAGGGACACTAACTATACTTAGGGTGGAAAAATATAATGATTCAAGACTTAGCAACAGGCAATATGTAAAATTTATGTTCAATTTAGTTTTTTAACTTATTAGCTTTGGAACCCAGCTTTCCTAATAAATTAAAAATCAACCTACTCAATTAAGGTAAATATCAAAATTTGACGCAAATGGGTCAAGCACAATTATACATGTAAAAAAACAAACAAAGATTACTTAAATATAAGATTTGATAAGATTATGTTTATATGAAATAAATTGACCCACTTAATAGAAGATGAATGGAAAAGCGAAAAAGCATAATTTAATTTGTGTTATTCAAATATCTCAGGGGTACATACAGGGGGGGGGCTGCAGTGAGCTGAACAATGCCCCATCAGAAAGCCTTTGTTTTCAAATCTATTTCTGATAGTTTTCCTCAAAAAATTGTACAGAAACTCTCAATTTCATTTTGGTTCATCAACTTTGACATTTGTAAACACTTTCTTTTGGACAAATGCATCCTTTAAAGGGACTGTAAGCGTAATTTTAAGTTCCCCTCAAAGTAAAGATGACAAAATCCGATTCAAAGTGGTTCTCTTAACCTTAAACAGGCTGGGGAGGCGGGCGTTTGGCGCCCCCCCCCCGTAGTTTTTTGTCCTAGCACTCTCATTTTTGACACTATCACTGTGAAAATTTGTGACTTTTAATGAATAATAATTTAAAGGATTTTGTGTTAAAAAAAAATATTTTTTTTTAATTTATAGGGTAGGGTAAATTAGTGCAGAAAAAAGTCTGGTCTGTGAAATAAAAATATAAATAGCCCATAACTTTTTGTGACTAAAGCTACAAATCTAAAAACTATATTTTTGAAAAGCCCTTGAAAAATGCATGTAGAAACATGTGTCACACTTTGATATTTGTTAAAAACAATAAACAAACATTTCATTTTTTTACCCTTTTTTAGGCATTTTTTCAACCCTCCCCGGTCTAACTTTTTTTCTCTGCATTTTAACCCTATTCTCTAAGGCCTTTTTCTATACATCGATTCAGACCCCCCAGCCTTTATAGGGTTAAAAACTAGGTCTGATCAAATATAAATTAGAAATGAATGATTACAATAATGAAAAGAAATCATTTTTAATTGAGAATTCTCTACAATCAAAAATTAACACTTATATAAACCATATTTTCATGAATCATGCATGGCTATCTTTGCAAGGACAGTCACTAAAAATTACGCTTATTGCCCCTTTACTCCAAATATATTTAGATGAAGAAGAAGAGGAGAGTATTATTGTACCAAGAGTCCAGCATATTGCAGTCAGTGATGAGAAATACTCAAAACCTTGGAAGAACAAGAAGAAGGGTAATTAAAAAATCTTAATAGATTTGAAAACTTGTGATGTGTGTCACTTTTTTTTATGTTTTTAAACCAACCGTGATTAAATTAATCTGCAGAATATTTCAGAACTTTTTCATACTCATTATTCTCATTTCTATGTGAAGCTTAAATAAACATTTTAAACATTTCTGCTTAGAAAAAATGTTTCTTGTTTTGTTGAAGCTGACTGTTTTAATCTAAATTTTAGTCATTACTTAAACAAACGTGAACTTACACAAAAGGTTGTAACATTTCTCATTGGCTAGGAACTCTTGTATTGTGGATATCGCGACTAATGCTTGATCATGCTCTTCTGTTAGTTAATCTGTAGATTAATTTAATCTTAATTCCACATCCCGGATTTTGATCATGGGAGGAAAAACGGCGCCGTGACAAACTCCTGAAAGACAAACTCCTGAAAGACAAACTCCGGAAAGACAAACTCCTGAAAAGACAAACTCCTGAAAGACAAACTCCTGACGAGACAAACTCCTGACGAGACAAACTCCTGAAAATAAAAAATTCTGAAATACAAACTCCATAATATCAAATTTAAAAAAATGTTTCACAATTTATATTTAATCATGTGAACCCCGCTAGATGGTATGCGGGACTGAAGTATATTCTCCAACTCCTTCTTTAAGTACAATTCAGATAATCTTCCTGGTTTAAACTCGGTTCCTGCTTCATCTACGCATTATTGAACTTGGTTCATACATGTACTGCACAAGACTACAGTATGCATCAAAAACTTATCTCTTGAAACTTTAAGTTTCTGTTGAGGAAATCAAGAAAAGCTGTATACTCTGGGGGAAGTGCTAGTATTAATATTTTGTCTGCGTCGTCGTGATTTCTACTATATCTGTCAATGTTAATCCAACTTCTGCTTAGTTATTTTTCTTTTTTAGGTTTTCTCAAGGTCCGGGTTATAGAGTCCAAGCTGGACAGGTCTACGCTGAATATCTGTGAGCCAAACAGCAATAAGGTTAAGGTTATTTAATATGCGAAATTGGGCATCAACTCACAAGTTTTTTTCATTTATCTGTTTTTCACTGATAACAAACATCTGCTCCCTCAAACATACCTAAAATCTTAAAGGGGGGGGGGATAACATTATTTTTAAAGAAAAAATATATCCTTGTTAAAGGTTGTAATCACCAAGAAACCAAACCTGGAGAAAATCCCCGGCTCTTTAGGAATCTGATCTACAAACCTTTTAATTCAATGTAATCTGAGACAAGACTTAATGAATTTTGCGAAGTAGTTACAAATTTCTTTAACTGGAACCAGGAGCATTTACTTAGGTTAACCCTATTTGGCTGAGGGGGGGGGTAATTTGACCCCCCCCCCATCGTTTTTTTGCAATAACTCGGAAGTATTTTAGCTAGGACGCTAAAATTTTCTGGCTTTTCTAACTAACCCATGCCCTTCACCAAAGGCTGTAACGCTTGTAAGCTGGGCTTTTATGCATACTGCCTAAGTCCTCAGGCACTGTCTAAATGCCTTATTTTACCTATACCAGACTAAATCTATATTTTAAGCTAGGCTTTTATGCTTACTGCCTCAGTCCTCAGGCATACTGCCAAAATGCCTTATTTTACCTATACCAGACTAAATCTATATTTAATCCTAATTCCAGTCATTGGATTTCAACTTTTTATAACTCTTTGGAAAGCCTATAACTAAAGCAAACAGATTGCGCAATTTTTGCGAAGATATTTTGCACAGATTTTGCACAGATGCCTTTAAAGGCAATTTGCACATTTTCAATTTTTCTTGAATACACATTTAGGTTATAAAAATTTTGCAAATGTTGTTGCACATTTGAATTTGCTGGGCCGAGGGCTTTTAAAAAATATATAATTTGTTGCAATTTGCAGATTTTTTGCTTTATAACTAGATTTTGCAATAAATATTCGGATGTTTGCAAATTTTCCATTTTTGTTGCAGATTGTTGAAGTAGAGCCCAAGGACTTTCCAAAAACGTACCAAACGTTATAGATTTGTATCACAATAAGAATATAGCAGAGGGGGGGGGGTTCAATTTCCCCTTCCCCCCCCCCCGGCAGACAATCAGTAAACCAGACTTCAGGATAAATAATAGTGTTAACTAATTCTTACTATTCATTAAATTTTGTCCCTGATCTAAAGAACGTTAAATTTGAAAACGGTAGAAATTGATCTTTCCTGAACCCTACACATTACAGATAATCCTTTACACATTCTTATATTTAATTTTGATGTCAGAATTCAATGTAATGTTTTACATGACTTTGTTGACATATGATTATAAAATTTCCAATACTTTAACTTCATTACATTTTCTAAGCTTACAGTCTTACAGATATGATTCCCTCCCCATAGATCAACTAAGTTATAGATCAAATTCTATAGCAACTGATCAGAACTTCATCAACCAGCCTATTGACTGGAGTAACAAGAATAACCCTTTTCCACATAACATCATTAATCAGTCCCCTGACCAGAACATTTTGAAACAGAGAGTCAACCAGAGCATAATGGATCAGTCTGTCTTCAGGAGCATACTAAACCAGGCTCCTGACCGGAGCAATATCAACCTTAAATATGACCAGAGCATCATGAACCTCTTCAGTCCTGAGAGTAGGAAGCAACAAGAAGTAAATGAGGTTAATGTTGTACAATATTCTGAGGCATATTCTGGAATTTTTCTTTAAAAGGGGGGGGGGTTCAGCCCTGTTGGGCCCAATAAACCCCCCTGAAAACCAAATATTTACCAACTCCCTCTGATAATATTTAAAACAGGGTTTTAACAGCTAACTTTATATTAAACAGTGCTCAGGATTGCAACATTTTAGTTCAAAGGATTCAGACTTTGATCCTCAAAATTATGTTGACACACAAATCTTGATTCATGTAGCAACATATTAACTAAAGCACTAAACAACCAATGAGGAATCTAATAAAACGTTTTTAATTATTGAATATTAATTATAGTTTCTACTATGATATTCTTTGGGTAAAAGAAAATAGCAAAGTTTCAAGAAATGTTCATGAGCTGGGTTAATTTAAATTTGGATTCAGGGTTCCGCATTAAAATGAAATGGATCCTTAGCAATTCTATTTGCAAGTAATAAAAGATCTAGAATTAAAGGGACCTTTATGAATCTGGCATTGCCATCTTTGCAAGGAGGGTGACCTTAGATTATTTTTTAATCCCTCTAATGCTTATTTTCAAATTTTCAAATTTTCAAATCTAAAACTTTATTTTGATAAAGATTTTATGACAATCACTGCACAGAAACAAATAGATATTATTTATTTTCACCAAGTACCAACTTTGTCGATGTTGTTCAACTATTCCTCACTATTTATTGATTTTGGTCCCAATATGTATCATTGGTTTAGGTTGAGATCCTAGAAGACAATGGACCTCCATGTTTAACCCCTGAGATAACAGAGCTCCATCCATTTCCACTAGGGGTATTTATTTTACAAAAAGTGAAAAGAAAAGCTTATAAATTTTAAATGCTACATTTTGTAAGAATTATATTCATTACAGTTTTGGAACATAGAAGAAGGACACTCCTAAAACTATTAAATGGATTTGACCCCATTGAAAGAACGAAAAAAGTAAAAGCTAAGAAACCCATAAAACCTTACATGACAATAAGGAACACTTGTCAAATTATATTTGTAAACTTTATGATTAATTTGGTTGGTTTTTGGAAATGAAAAATGTTAATCAAGATTCAACTTTTGTAAAATTGTTACCATTTCTAAAGATAAACAGACTGGTGCACCATGGACATTCCGCCACCCCTCTTCATCGGGATCCTCAGATATCCCGTCTACTGGATATCCATGGATATCCAACCACCCCTCTTCTTAAGAAACATGGAACTCCAACCACCCCTGTGCCGGAAATCCGTGCAACCATCTCGCTACTTGAGCATCTTGAACGTCCGACCACCTCAGTTCCAGAAACCCATGGACCTCCGACCAACTCTCCGCTGGACCACCATCGATACCCAAAAACCCCTTTACGTCAAATGCGCTTTTATCCCTCTACCACCAGCTAAACATCAGGAAGGGTATATACTATTCAAGCAAAGTGAAAAAGGTTTTTTTGAAAGATGTTAATTAAGTCATATTGTGAATGCCAACAGTATAAATTTGAAAAAAAATCTAGGAATATTTTGCAAAAATAATATTCATGTTTTTTAACAAAAGTTTAATTTTGTATGTATAAAGTTTAATTTAATACCACAATATTTTTTTTTTTTACAATCATCCTTTTGTATGTGTATTTGTAATAAATTTTATTCGTTCTTCAGAATTTATTTTCTGGGAGGATGGATGGTCTTGAGTTCTAGAAAACTTTTAAATGCATATACCATTTTTTTTCTTCCAATTTTCACCTTTTTATTTTTGACATATTTTCTACAGTGCGTCCCATATCATATTAGATTATCTCCAATCTTTAACGCCAAATACGCACATAATACTCGATCGAAAAATCTAGCATTTTCTGCAAAATAAAAAATTTCTAGCAGCCTTTTTAAATTTTCAAAATGATTAATTCTTCTTGAATTTTCTGATTCGTCCCCCAAATTGTAAATCAGATCAATTGAAGCGGTCTAATTTGATGTGGGACACCCGGTAGATGCTCTAGAAACTGAACTACGGGGTTTGCAAAATAAATATCGAGTAGTTTTTAAGAATATTTTTATCATGTTTAACTATGTCTAACCCCCATCCAACACCACCTATCCAGCTGAACTAACCTAATTGAAGATCATGATACACTTTTAGGTTGGAAACCCACTTAGAGGGGTCGGATCGGAGTGTGGAATTTTCTACTTTGTCAGAGGGGGGTGAAGGGTTTAAGTCAGGGTTGTATAATAAGACTTATTACTCTCTATGCGCTCCAATGTACGGAAAATTTCGTCTCCTAAGATAGTTAGATACAAACCTAAAAGGACGTCATTGATTATAGGGGCAAAAGTGACGTCATATGAGGTTTTTATTTACCTATTTTAGGAGACGACTTTTTCCGTTCATTGCAGCGCATCGAGAGTAACCTACCTTATTATACAACCTTGGTTTAAGTAAATACTAAATGGTATTTTTTATCTAATGTGCTCTTGTGTTACTGTTTAGGATTATGTAGATCTTGGTGTATTGAACAATAGTAGAAGAATTTGTTTTTATGTTAAGTTTGCAGCCCGGGGGGAGATGGGCGGGTTGACTTGAGGGGATTTACTAGCATAAATTTGTTATGGNTTCTGTAAAGAATAGAATGGATAAAAGAGCAATACAGACTGCTGTAAGGGGTTGGGGAATTCTTGAGGAAATTTATAGGATATGGGGGAAAAGGATTTCTAAGATGTAAAGGGTGGAGTGGATTCTATTGTCCTAGAACATAGATAAAAAAACCATGTACTCTAAATAATATTTGAGCAACATTATAAAATTATATTATATCACTGAGGCAGATTTTTTAAATTTTATTTCTCGCTTGCTAAACACTCTTTATCAAAATATGCAAGATCTTTATAAAATGTTATCAGATTTTGCCGATTACTCCTTTTAAACTGAAGCCAAAAAACTTGCCAGTGTCAGTTTTAAAATGTTCATTTTTATACTTTTCTTATGCAAATTATAAAAACATTGTTAAAAATACATTTCTTATGAGTTATCGAGGTAAGCCTTCAGGCTAAGCGTCGACTGGGACCGAATTTGATGAATTTTAGCTAGGTCGCTGATCTTTATCTACCTACCTCCTATTCAAATCTTGAATCACCGATTTAAAGTAAAAGATTCATGAGGATTTGGAAACCAGTAATATGTAGTTCAGCGACCTCTCCAATTAAAAAAATTTGGTCCCGGGTCTCAAAATTTGATTACTAACTTTTACAGATGTCTGGATCTCCGTGTGTTAGAGGAAACTCTACCATTTTGTTCCTTATATTGAACATCACAAAGTCAAATTTGAATTAGATTGCCATGTTAAAAACTGATTATTTTATTATTGAGGTTTCTCTACTAAAGCATGACTTAAATGTATGTGTAGAGCTAGGATGGGCGGATTTTTGGTAATGTCAATTTGGTAATGACAATTTGGTAACGACAATTTGGTAAGCTCACAAGAGTGACAATTTGTTAATGACAAATTGGTAACAACAAAAAAGTGACAATTTGGTAATAAAAGTTTGATAACGTCATAAAAGTGACAATTTGGTAAACGAAATAAAAGTGACATTATGGTAAACGAAATAAAAGTGACATTATGTAAAATTGTTTAATTTTTAGTTTTATATTCAATGAAGATAATTGATTCTAGGAATCTTTTATTTCTGCACAAAAGAAATGAGCCAAAAATAATTGTAAAATTCGAAATATTTTCTAAAAACCACGTTTCAACCTGCACTTGTGTCATATACTGCAAGGAGACTTGGATCATGAATTGCTTATTCATCACCCCTTCTAGGGGTGGGAAAATGTTTCAAGATTCAGAATTAAGGATTTAAATACTGCAACAAGAACGGACTTTATGTATGTCAATGTTAGGAAGTTATTAATGTTACTTTTTATATGTAGTTACCAAACTGTCCCTTTTATAATCAACACTTAAGAGGATGCAGTGCTTGGCCCCTAGCCCATCCTAGCCGCAGCACTCGGCCAAGAAACTGTCTTAATCTAACCTAACCAAAATAATGTGAGAAACGGCACATTATTTAACATTTAATAGCCCGCAAATTACCAAATTGACATTACCATAAATCCGCCCGTCAGAGCGAGTTGTACATTTTTCAATCTTTATATTAATACTCTGCTTGTCTTTCTGTTTGATAGTATCCATCAAATAAACGGCTAAACCGATCGGACCCCAATTATTTGCACGACATTTCACATTAACTGATATTTGTTTTTTATTTTAACAATTGTTTATAGTGTATGATTTAAACGTTTGTGAATTCGGTAAACTTTTTATATTCATTTCGATATATTTTGAAAAAAACTCCTTGGTTCGGTTAGACAATGTTCCGCAATTAATTTCCAGAAGTGTTAAGTTTTTTGTCTTGTAGGCTGCAGGAAAGATTCCGTAATACATTTCCGTCACGGAATTGCTCCATATAAGATAGAAACCCAAGGCAGACTGCATTATAAAGGGTTATCCCAACAGATGAGATTGTAAAGACGATATGAAACTTTAGAAAATGACACGTCCAAGTTTAAATTAGGTCTTTTCCGATAAATATATATAATCTGTAATTGTACAGATTTTGATTGTGTACAGTCGTCTCTGTTGTCTTATCCCTTGTGAAGAACCCTGGCTGCATATATTTTTACGATGCACTTACTACATGAAGACAATCTCTTAATACAGGACTCACAAAGGATGAGAATTTAAAGACTGAAACAGTTCCAAGGTTTCTTTTACCTTGAATACAAACTTTTAATGAAAGAAACAAGTTTACGGTTGCCGAGAATAATAAAAATAACGAAACAGACAGGTTACATTCTGTACAGTCGTCTTTGAAGGTTCATCCTTTGTGGGGTAACCCTGAACAATTAAAATCTAGTGTCAACATTATGTACTTTTTTTGAATGATTATCCTAAACCGCGTTCCAAATTGCTGTTAGCAATGAGCGATTATTTTCTTTCACACTCTTCAAAAATTCGTGGATTTATATTGCTTTACAGTGGAGCCATTACCCCCCCCCCCCCCTCCAAGTGGCGGAGGAGGGGGTGTTGATCAAGGGTTATGTATTAATGTTTACGTTGTATGATGGGATGTCAAGAGGAATATGTTCTGGGCACAGATTAAGGGGGATACAAGAGAAAGAGGGGGGGGGGAAGTAGGGTTAAACTTTTCCTTCCGTATATATGTAATAAATATCGGGTCACAGAATATTCTGTAAACCTGCAGTACGTTGTACATTATTAACTATCTATATTTGTAAACTTTTACGTTAAACTCATTATTTATTTTGAACTGCGTTTCAAATAAATACGTAGCAGGATTAGTTTAATCCTGTGATATAGATAATGACATACATCTTAAATGCGCCTATTTCAACTGTGCTGTAATACATAACATGATTGCCTTAATCATGTAATGTATGATACCTATGTAGGAATTGTAATTTTGTCAATTAACTTTAACTTGTAACGTATAAACCTTAAATACATCAGTTGATAGAGAAACGCTGCTTTGATAACAGTGTTGAGAGTAATTTGGTTTTTGATGAAACATATGAATTGAGCTCGTGTCTTGTATTTGACATTGATCAATAGATTGTTTTTGTTCAGTTGACATAGCAAACGAGATTGTGCCCAGTGGTAGTAGCGTTGATAGTTCACAGGATTGTAACCGTGTGGATCATGTCCTGTTTAAGACATTGATCAATAGATTGCATTTTTTGCAGTTGACATAGCAACGAGATCACTCCCAAAGATAGTGGCGTTGTTAGTTCATGGGATTGTAGCCGTGTAGATCATGTCCTGTTTGAGACATTGATCAATTGATTGCTAGTATCTGTATTGACACCGATAGCTAACAGGTTTGTGACCTTTGACTTGGCATTGATAGTTATGAGCTTCCGATTGATATCGATAGCTAACGAGATTGTATCTTGGTTTAAATATTAATATAGCTAAGTGAAACTGGACTGGACTTAGATAGATACTGGTTCGATAAGTTGTTATGAAGTAGGTGTTTACTAATTATAAACTGAAAATCAATACTTCTTTTTCTTTGGTGAGCTTCCATATGTGCGATGGAAGGCATACCCTTTTTTGTGTGGACGCAAATTCTGTCAGCAGTGCGTTCACCTTTTTTCAACTGGAATTTTCTAAGACCTGGCCCAAAAATTATAATTTGATAATTTACAGTACATTTATTAGGATGTATACAAAATGCCGAATGGAGATAGGTGCGGTCTTGACTAAAACTAATAGTAAGCTTAATTCCGAGAAAGCTGAGTTTGTGACGTAATTTGCGGTATGGACGAAAAACAGGTGTGGTCTGCCTTCCCTCCCTCTTTATGTGCAGCATGACGTTGCATCCGTTAAAAAAACTATTGAAAATACTCTCGGTGTAGTTCGGTATTACGAACAAAATTTAAGGTTCTGACACTGTAGATGCATTTTTTTCATACTTCTCATTTAATCTTTTTATGACAATATTTTTATGGCTGAAAAAACTTATTGAAGAAAGGTTACTGACAGAATCTTTG